AAGTTACTTACTTCCGGGTTCGCCGACCAACGGGTTCGCGGGGACCGCCGCGAACCGCCTGAAACCCACCCCTGCCCGACACCCGCCCTCATGGCAGCATCACCATTGGCAGCCATGGGCAACAGGAGCCCACATGGCCACTGACCCACTTCTCTTGCTTACTCGCAGCCACAATGGAGCAAGAGACTGAGTGGTGTGTTGGTGCCACAGGCGTGAGGCGAGATGAGGCGGGTGTGAGGGCATGGAAGGGCTGGCTGTGATAAGGGTGCATGGGGCAGTCCACGCCCTTACCTCGCCTTGGGGCCTCAGGTCCACTCCCACACCTTGTCCCTGGGGCGCTGCTCCTGCCCTGCCACGGGCAAGCAGAAGAAGGGGACCTCGCGTACATGGGAGAAAAAAATTAAAACACCCCCGAAAATAAGCCCCAGTGCTTATTTTGGCCCCCAAAAGAAAATAAGGCCTGGTCTTATTTTGGGGGAAAATAGGGATTAAGGTAGGAGGGAGGGTACAAAAATGATAACGAAAGTTGTCCTCCAACGATAAGGCTGGAGAATAACCTCCAAAGTCCCTTCCAATTCTATTATTCTATGTAAACATTCTATTCGTAAGAGCTGTACCTGGAAAATGGTTGCAACACGGATGTGGTTTGCTTATGGGGTGGTCGCGCAACTTGTTTAGTGTGTGTGCAAAGGGTTTTGTGCCGGGTAGTTGGGAAAAGGCCATTGCCGTTTCCTTTGAGAGAAGAGGTGCAGCCAGAGCCCAGGAGGCCAAGATACCTACAAGCAGCTACTTCTATCTCATCTCAGGGTGTTTAATTCCCTTGCGTTCCCATCCGTTCCTTACTCCAACCCTTTGCGGGGTGTTGCTAACCAAAGGGGAACAGCTTGCTGGGTGTGTCAGCAGGGAAAATATCTTGTGTCCTGGGGTTCCTCTTTGCATTTGTACTAAGACTTTGTCTTGATTTGCTTCTCCCCATCAGGAGCAGTATAAGCGTGAGCAAGAGAGGCTTAAGGAAGAGTGGCGGAAAGCCCAGCAGGAGGCGCAAAAGGACATCCCCAGTTACTTAAAGGAGGTCAGTTCTCAGCAGTGGTGGGTTTCAAAAATTTTTGGAACGTACTCTGTGGGTGTGGCCTCCTTTGTGGGAGTGGCTTGCCGGCCATGTGACCTAGTGGGAGTGGTTGCCGGCCATGTGTTTTCTTTCTTTCTTTCTTTCTTTCTTTCTTTCTTTCTTTCTTTCTTTCTTTCTTTCTT